GTGAGTATGAAAAAGGTGTGGGTGAGTGTGAGTGTGAGTATGGATGTGTGTGTTGGGTGTGGGTGTGGATGGGTGGGGTGGGTGTGTGAGTGGGTCTGAGGTGTGGGTGGGTGTGGGTGGGTGTGGGGTGTGGATGCGGGTGTGGGTGTGGGTTGAGTATGAATTTGAAAAGAACAACACCCACACACCACACTCACACCCACATCCTACCCACACCCACACGCACACCCTGTTCATATCATTCACTTCTCTTTTGATCGGTTCGATAGATCAACTTTGGGATATCAACAAACAGTTTATTTTATTTTAATTCAACTTAAATGAAATTATTGAAAAATGATCGATATTGAATTTTAACAGTTCATTCAGCATTAAATTTATTTGCTGCTGGTAAGATTCTTTTCATTTTCAAAAATTAAAAGTAAAATAAAACATTTGTTTGCTAGGTCATGATAATCAAATATTCACGACGATTGGAAATTAGAACATCACATGATGTTCCTCTTATATAATTATAAAAGTAAATTTCCTCAGAATTTTTTAAAATAAATTAATTGTTTTATTTTATTTGAAAATACTGTTAATGGTCCACGTTCGACAGATACTTGTGAATCAAGAAATTCAATATAAAACTCTGAATGATATGATTTATTCGAATTGAACGTTAGGATTTTAAAAAGGTCTAACATTTCAAAAAGAGAAAGATATTTTATCAAAATTGTTCGATACTTTTAATGTATATTCTTTTCTAGTGCGTGAAGGTCGTTGTTCATCTGATTTAAATGCATTCGGGTTGCTTTAAATCTTTTTTTATGGATTTTAATACAACATAAAAAAAAAATTTAATTAACAGATTGTAATGAAATTTTTTATGCTGATAGAGGTCTTGATTAATTCGTGAAAATGATCATATTAATATATATGATGCTTAACAAAAATGTTCATTAGCAAGTGTAAGAAAAGGCAAAGTGAAATATACAATGTGGTCAAATGATACGAATTACTTATCATTATTAGGATGAGTCAGGTGTTTTTCTTCATACAACATCAAATTATATTAAGTATGCATTTATGAATGGTGATCATGGAATTATTCATATACTTGATTTATATATTTATATAACAAAAGTTAAAGTAATAGAAAATACGATGAAGTAAAATTTACAAATTTCTTTTCAAAAATGTTCATCTTGAAAACAAATGATGCAAAAACAAGATTTGGTTTGGCACTGGAATATAGAAATATTGATGTAAATTATTTGATGTTTTTTTTTAATAGTTTCAATTATCTATTTTTTGAAAAATGATGAAAATTGGTTTGAAAAATTTCTTGTTATTTTTATTTTAATTTATTTTTTTTGTTTAGCTGAAGTACGAAAAGATGTTAGTAGACAATTTCAAATTGCAGTCTTATTAGGGGATGTTGAAGAACGAATGAAATTTCTTAGACAATGCAATCAAAGTAATGTTTTATATTTTTTCTCTATGAGATTGATTTATGTTGTGTCTTTTTTTATACAATAGAATCATTTGATGAAAAAGTAATATATTATGGATAAAAAGTACTCTCATGTTAATACTTCGTCCAAGAGGGTTTTTAAAAAAATTAAAGCAATTTAGAAAGTTTTATTTTTCGTTTTCTAATATCTTCAATTGAAAGTCTTGAAAACTAGTTATACGTTTCCATGTAAATATACCAATTTTTTTGAGATATTAAATAATTTTTAAACAATCTTTAATTGTATTCAACACATCATTTATCTAAAGAGTTTTCTGTACTCTTGTATAAAGAAGTTTATGATGATTCTCGAAGTTTATTGCGACATTGAATGATAACATGTTTTTTTTAAAAGACATTTCAAATAATCACCATGTCATAGTTAGTTTATTTTATTTTCTGTGATTGATATTCATTAGAATGTATATTAAAAACAGAATAAGAAGACTTTTCATATTCTGTTTCAAAAAAGGAATAAGCCGGTAGACTAGGATTTTAACAGTTATTATTACTTGTTCTTTGTTTAATTGATATATTAGATATGAAATAATAGGATAAACATACATTTCATCAATATTAATCTAGAGTTAAATTTAATAATTCAAAATAAAATATTTATTTATTTTAGTTACTTGAAATAAATCTGAATGCTAAATTAATTTTACCACCGTGTCCAATATGTCAACAACAATCAAAGCAGGCTTAATATCAAACATAACAGCAAAACTTGCTGCAAATCTTCACATTGATGAAATAGCAATAAATAGTGAACATTGGGCTGATGATGCAGTAAAAATTGAAGATGAAGGTTGAGGTGATACTGAAATTGAATTATCACCTGATCTTGTATGTTTTTATTGAAATATATTAATAATTTGTTTATTTAATAAATATTCTTAAATTTTTATTTTAATTATTAAGGTGTGATGGACATTCACCAAAATTGTTTTATCCAGTAGTTGGTTAAAATTAGAACAATTAGTTAGACGTCTTCAAATCGCTTATCGTTTAACTAAAAAAGGGAAGACTTCAAGATCAGCACTGAATTGAAATATGTAAAGAAAATATTGTTGGTTTACAAATGTCAATAGCAAAAAAAAAATTAGCAAAAGATAATGAAAAACGTTCATGTGAATTAGCTGCTGATTTTACTCATTTACAATTACAATCAATACATAAAATCATGACATTAAAATTTGCACTTAATCAAACATTGTGAATTAATTTCTCAGGTCTACTAGTAAAGAAATCTTTAAAAAAACATAGCTATCTTTAATGCACTCAAAGATATGTCATGTCTGTTGATCAAAGTTGCTCATGTTGTTTTGATTTATTTGAAACAATTGAGTTTATTCTTTGTTAAATGAAACATAATTTTCGTTCAATTACTTTAGAATACGGAGAAAAAAAACAAATAAAAACTTTATTATTATTTTGTTTAGACACGGAAAGTATTAAGTGTACGGGAAAAGAATCCAATTGCGGAACATCCATTAAATTATGATGAATATAATCCATTTAATATTTGTGCTGCATCCAATGTACCACATTTATCGGTGCAGCCCATTTATCGGAATTTATAGGACAATTATGTCGAGTTACAAAAGCAACTGAAATTGGAATTCTAATTCTATTATCATTATTATTAACTTTTAATGCATATATTTATCATTTTGAAAAAGTAACTTATCATTAGAACGTTTTTCTCTTATTTCAAGATAAAGAAATCCTTTTCTAAAACGAGAATTTAGAATCAATACATTTGTTTGAAATAAGTTCACTTCAGTAGACATTGAAATTCTATGATAATATACAAGAATAAATAATCTCGATTTATAAAACGATATCAATGCAACTGAGTACTTTATAATTGTTTAAGAAATTTTATTGACACGATTTTATTTGATATTCAACCTTTGCAATATCTCGATTGACTCACTCAATTAGTAACCTACGAAGATCTATTAAGTGATTAATAAGACTAACAGATAATTAAATGTCTAGCGATATACTTTTTTTTTTATAGATTTCTTCATATTGAAATAAAAATATAAATGAACATTGAGAAATAAATTTCCATTCTAAAAATTAAAATGGAAGATAATAATGATGATGATTTTTCATTCAATGGTTTATTTTCCCCAATTGAAAAAATCTTCGTTGATTTCGATTGGCTTTTCTCCAATTTCGCAACTACAGAGTTTCAAAGTAACAAAAAAATGAAAACCTATTCTAAAAACGAATTTTCTTAAATTAGTATCTTTTGTAGATAATCATTATGGTGATGAAAATCTTGATTCTACTATAGAAAAACATGATCTTAATGGAGCATTTCCAAGAACTGTTATAATAACAACAATGAAACGAGAAACAATACCAACGGGAAGATGCGTTATTGAAAAACAAATTCAATAATCATCAAATCACAATAAAAATATACAAAACTGAAACAATAAGTAAAATATGTGGAGATAAACATCATACAACAGTAAAACAAGATGGTAAAATAATTCGAGAATATGGAAATGCAACAATGAATGAATTAAATCAAATTGATAAAGACATTCGAATTTTTTTAAAGAGTTTTTTTGTTAAATAAAAGATTTTTGTTCAAATGATCTACTAAAAATA